TGGAAATTGTAATACAGCTGAAAAAGAAAGACAGAAATCTTAATGGTTACTTTTCTTCAGTGTGTGTGTGGGATGGTTGGGTATATTCTAGTTCTCTGAGAGCTGGCCTCTCTCATACTTGTGTCACTGAGTGATGTCTTAGTCACAAAGGGTCTCATTTATACAAGGATGGATTTTTGTCCCATTAACATGTGTTCACTACCCTCTACATGCAAAAGCACCTCCCTTGTTTTTAATGAGCATTACAGAGAATATGAGAATAACTGAATAACTAAACAAATGTCTATCTGTAACTACAAAAAGAAAAGCCATTTTTTTAGGGGGGTGGGATGTGGGCAGTTTGTTTGGGTGTTTTTCTGTGAGGTCTAGCATGTTTATTTTTAACAACACTTGTCTCACTCAGTGATTTCCTGCTTGAGGCCAATATCACAGAATCACAGAATATGCTGAGCTGGAAGGGACCCACAGGGGTCATCCAGTCCAACCCTCAGCCCTGCACAGGCCCAGCCCCAGAGTCCCCCCTGTGCCCCAGAGGATCATCCCAACCCTCCTGGAGCTCTGGCAGCCTTGGGGCTGTGCCCACTGCCCTGGGGAGCCTGTTCAGTGCCAACCACCCTCTGGGGGAAGAACCTTTCCCTGAGATCCACCCTGAGCCTGCCCTGACACAGCTCCAGCCATTCCCTGGGGGCTGTCCCTGCTCCCCCCAGAGCAGAGCTCAGTCCTGCCCCTCCTCTGCCCCTGCCCAGGCAGCTGGAACTGCAGGGAGGTCTCCCCTCAGTCTCCTCTGCTCCAGCTGAACACACCAAGTGCCCTCAGTGTCCTCACACGGCTCCAAATCCAGGCCCTTCCCCATCCTCGTTCCCTCCTTTGGACACTCTCCAGTGGCTCAATCTCTCCCTTCCATTGTGTTCCCCCAAACTGCCCCAATGTTGAGGTGAGGCCGCCCCAGGGCACAGCAGAGCGGGACAATCCCCTCCCTGCTGCCCCAGGACAGGGATGTCCCTCCTGGCTGCCAGGGCACTGCTGACTCAGGGACAGCTGGGACCACCAGCACCCCTAGGGCCCTTTCCAGCTCTGCTTCCCAGCCTCTCATTCCCAGTGTGTCCATCCATCCATCCAGGGTTACCCCATCCCAGGGGCAGAATCCGCACTCGTCTTTGTTAAAGTTCATCTGGTTGGTGATTCCCAGCCCTCTGATTTGGTGAGGTCTCTCTGCAGGGCCTCTCTGCCTTCTAGGACTCAACAACTCCTCCCAGTTCTGGGTATATGAGTTGCAATTTTAAATGTCTGTTACCTTTTAAAAATAATTTCTCAGTAACTGTGCAAGAGGAAGATGTTTGTTCTTCATGTTTCTTACAGACAGTGGAAATTGGAACATTTGTGTTACAAATCAGGAGAACTCATCACAGAAGCAGGTTACATGGACCAGGTACGTGTAGCAGGCATTTAGTTACAAGGTTTGTGCATTTTCATGATTCAGCCTGTGCTGCCTTGATTATATTCTTGTGTGACTGTGTTTTTTCCCCCTTCTGATTTTGACAGATCATAGAATATCTTTATCCTTGTTTAATTATCACTCCTTTGGACTGCTTCTGGGAAGGAGCAAAGCTACAATCAGGAACTGCATATCTATTGTAAGCATGCTTTTTTATAGCTTTCTGGTCTGACTGTTTTTAATTGTATAACTCTGTACGACTTTTCATTTGCACTCCCATTGTTTATTCAGACTCTGATTTAACAAGAAAAAAGTTTAAAGCGTAGTGTTTCTATGGAAAGTCTGCTTGGATTTTATTTTAATTTAACAAAGATTTTCCTGTTTCTTAGAGATGATTTGTAAGCCTCAGTTTAAATCCTCTGTTATTTTTCCTGTTCTGCTAGCATGAAAAATAAAACGTAAATTCTGTGTTGAAGTTTTAAGGATTTTATGTTTTGCCCTTTTTTTTTTTTTTTTTTTTTTCCCCTTGAAACAAACTTGTTTCTGGTAGTTTTTTTTTTTCCCCACAAAACACAAAAACATTGATTGGATGGAAATTTTAGACCTAAGAAAATGTCTTGGGTTAATTCTCAATTCTTCCTAAGGAATAAAAACCAAATCCTTTACTTATGAGATCATTAAAGAAACCATATAGTATCCTTTATGGATGGTTTCTCACAGTTTACAAGTGTGATATTATATGCCCTGAATCCTTTAAAGAGTTAATTGTTAATCTGTGCAGGCATTTTCTGTTAATTATGCAAGAGTTAGCATTTGAGTTATTGTTTCTGTGCTGGTTTGCATGTCTCTGCAAAAGCAATTTGCAATGGCCATCTCCTAACCTTTAGTGTACAGTTTTAGATGGGGAAATAAGGGGGTTTGTGTTTTCTGGTTGGGAGATTCGGAATAATGACTTAAGCCTGGTTAAGCAGATACAGTGTGGTTTGAACCACAGAATAAGGCAGTCAAAAGCCTTTCTAGTCTGTCAACATCACAAATTCAGAAGTGGGGGGTGGGAGACGTGACAGTGGTAGTGGTGACAGCCATGGTTGCAGGAAAGCTTGGTTGATAGTCAAGCTGCCAGGGCATTTGAAGGAGCACAGTATTGTTATAGATAAACAAAGATCAGTTATATTGATTGATTACATTTCCAAGATGATTATTAGACTAGCTAGAAGTAATCTGATACTATGAGAAAGGCTTTCTTTCTTCAGCCCCCTCTCTTCTGTCCCTCTCCCCTCCCCCTTAATTCTTTGAAGCAGCAGTTGGCTGCTTTTTTGTTATTTAGGTGGTTGATGATTTGTTTTGCTTTGTTTGTAAATGGAAGTATTTCTAACCTGTGAATATTCTGTTGTATAAGATAACTTTATAAGAAGTGAGTATTTTTGTTACAATTACAATTGGGCTGCAAGAAAAGTACATAAGCAAATCTAATTAAAACATGCCTTATGTTTTATGAAACAGCCTTACAAGAAAAATTCTAACTTTTAGCATAACATAAGTTAGTTATTTGTTCAATTAAGAATTTTAAAAGTATGCTTATTTCAGTACTTCTTTTGTCTTTTTTCTATGTGTCTTTTTCTCCTGGTTGCTCTTGCAGAGGGAAGCCTCCTTTGCAGTGGATCAACTTTGACCCCTTAGAATTCTTGGAAGAGTTAAAGAAAATAAACTACCAAGTGGAGAGCTGGGAAGAAATGCTGAATAAAGCAGAGGTTGGTCATGGTTATATGGATCGACCCTGCCTGAATCCTGCTGATCCCGATTGCCCAATCACAGCTCCCAATAAAAATTCCACCAAAGTAAGTTTGCTTGTCCTTGTGCATGTCTTTTCAAGGGAGGCTTGGGGGTGGGGAGGGGTGGGGGGGAAGGTCAGGCAGAATAGAAGAAAGTACCATTTTCTTCCAAGCAATATGTAGTTCTTATTCTTGAGTGATGTCATTTTTGTGTTCCTGCAAGACGCTGCTAGCTCACAGCCACGGGCTTCGCCTTGTTCTGTGATGCAGTGCTTAATCCCGTGTATCTAAAGTGCAGTTGTCAGCTGCACTCCGGCTGTGGAAGTGTGGTGGTGTGGCATTCAGCAAACCTGGTGCCTCAGGCAGACAATGTCCACTGCTGGGGCACAGCTGCCCCTGCACACGACACAGCACGGCCTTCCCTCCAGGGCAGCCAGTTCTGTTCATTTTCATGACAAACTTGTAGTTGTGGGCCTCCAACTTATACATCCCTTTATCAGTCACATTAGGCCTTGCAGGAATTGCTGTTTGGCCCACAGGTATCTGGGTGACTTGTTCAGCTTGATTTCCTGAATGCATTTCTTCTAATAGACTGCCTAGATGGTCTTTAATATCCATTATTCTGGGTGCTGAGTTAAGGTATGAGTTTGTCTGAAGTCATGAAACCAATTAATTGCTTCCTTATAACTTTTTCTAGCCTCTTGATGTAGCCCTTGTTTTGAGTGGTGGATGCTATGGACTGTCAAGAAAATACATGCATTGGCAGGAGGAGCTGATTATAGGTGGTACAGTCAAGAACAGTTCTGGTAAACTTGTCAGGTAAAAAAATGTTTAAAAAAAAAGTCTGTTTTTCTCTGTTAGAGTTTGTTTTTTGGGGCACAGTGGGAGGACCATGCCAAATCTTCTGCCCTTCATGTGTATTGTAATCTCACTTAAAGAAGGATGTGACCCTCTTAAGAGAACAGAATTTAAAAGAGTGCTTAGGAAGTTGTTTAAATTTAAGGCAGCATCATTGCTTCCTACTTCTAACCTCAGAATGATAGTGTATGTTGCTCAGGAAGAAAGCTTCTTCTGGCAACTTTGCTGTTTAGAATGTATTTATAAAGCATTAAACAGTGTTTAAAGTGCTGAACCCCTTCATTCCAAAATATGATCAAAGGAAAAAGGGGAAGAAAACAGTTTGAGCACTGTGCTCAATCATTTGACTTCTCTCAGAATTCCAAGATCTCCAATGAACTTTATGTTCAGGACAAATATAGAGAAAAGTCTATTTTTATGTCCTTGTAC